TCAAAGCAGTTATTCGTCGTTTCAGGAAAATGTATAGTACGTATACCGTCCTTTCAATACGAGCTGGGTGCGGTAATTTTGACTTGAACCTACTATCGCTAACAGAGGACTTTACTACGGCTTACTAGTTTTTGAATGCGCCATGTTATACGGCGTATATAATTTTCCATGAATTGGTAAATGTCAAAGAGCGGTTCTTCGGCTCGCTCATCAACGACCTTCGCCCTGTGGTGGTAGGTAGTGCCTTGGTATCCAAGGCACTCTCTACCACCACAGTCACCACCACTGCCACTATCATCGTGGCCGAGGTATTGGCCGGTGACTTTGTAGTGGAGTCTCGCATAATAGGCAAAAATCCGCTTTCTCCATCGTTTAGTCTCATTGCACTATATTTTCTACCACACCACAGAAATTCTTCTACCAGCACCACAGCCTCAAGCACCACAGCCTCAAGCACCATCGGACTAAAACCCACATGGGATTTACTTGCATGGTAACCTCATGATGATTTTAGCCAATCATGCCGCGGTGGACGATTTGGAATAAAAATACAACACGAACAGTCAACTTGGACGATCGTGAGAAATATTTCCACTCGGTGGACGATCTTGAGAAATACCCTTATGTATATGCACTTATTGTAAACATTATCAATTTTCAGGAGGTCTAATCAACTTGAACTAAGCCGCATAATTTACGTTAAAAAATTCAATTTTGTGACGCCTCCATGCATTGGAGGATGATCGGCTATTTCCTGGTTCACTACTGGACAGCTCAAACGTTTTTCAGTGAGCAACGTGAATCGCTCTTCGACCGCGCCACGTGCACTTCACGTGAGAGGACTTGTCGAAAACGGTGCGTGTAAGACCGGTGGCTTCCTTGCGTCGAGTCTCCTTCCGCTCGCTCCTCGTAAACATAGCGATCGCATGGCTCGCCTTCCTCGCATCGGGGTGTCGGACTCGCTAGGCGACCGCGACGATGGGCCCATCCCACGTCTCATGTTGCCTGCAGTACTCGTCCCTCCACCATAGCATACACGTTGAGCGCCGACAGACGTTGCGCGGATGAATTGCAGAGACAGAGATTATGGTGGCAGCGGCGGATAAATGACACATGCCATGAAACGTGACCGCATTCGGCCCTGTAGTAAGTGTTTTGATCGAGTTGGCACCTGGGTTCTCTTGTGCTGCGTGAATAATCACCGCAAGCGACTCCAAACGCTTCATCAAATCGCCTCTTTGACCTTCGAGTGGTCGCGACGCCTCCACCGTGCTAACTATCTCTAGATAAACGCAGAGGCAGAGCAAATGCGGCGTCTTGTGTATGCGGAACCGATGCCGTCAGGTCGACTTGGAACGTGCACCAGAGTTTGATGTCAAGTGCGTACATGATGTTGCCCTTGCGGATCGTCAAGATGCCATTCATGGCAGCGGACATGCGATCCATGTAATACATGTCCTCGTGGATCCAGCCGTCGGTTGAAAACATGTACTTGGCGCCGGCGTAGAGGAAGACCGACTTGAACTGCGTCTTGACGGGTTTCTCAAAGAGTTGCCGGGTGACTGTGTAGCAGAGGACATTCGAGATTAGCACGATCGCCACCAACACAGCAAACCGCATCGGCTGGCCGATGGCGAGGTTGCCGCTCGTACACACGACTTGAAAGTCCACTTGGGCGAGGCGGCACTGCTTGTCGATCACCATCGAGTGCGTCATCGGAAACGCGACCGAAATGCTCGCCATGATGGCCCACACGAGAAAACTGTTGATGGCTGCGTAGTACGACGTGTACTCGCGGGTCAGGACTAGCGCCACGTCGTTTACGACCGCTGCGAGCCACGTGATCTCGTTGGCTGCCAGGAACGTTTTCACCAGCGACAGCTGCATCGATTCAAAGTACGTGACAAACCCCGAGTAGCGCAGTTCGAGGGTGGCCGTCGAAAGCAAGCCGAGGGCAGTGACGCTTCGGAGAAACAAGAACGGCCGACCAATCCACACGATCGCCCCGACGCGCTGCAACTTGTACAAATTCAGTGCTTCGACGTGGCCTCGGCACAGCACAACGTACACGAGCAGCAGCACCGCGATGAAGAGAAACGTGGACGTGATGTACCACACGGCACTGCGGAGGTACACAGCAAAGTTGACGGGAAATTGCGCGCGGTTGACTTGCTGTGTTTGCGTCAGCGCGTATTCGGTGATGAGCGTGATATTGGCCACGTCCCCGGCAAAGGTCACGACTTCTCGGAACCCGAGAGCCCAATCCACGAGGAATATCCACGAAAAGAAGGCAAAGCTCTTGTCAAGCGGGTCCAACAACCGAGCTCGGAAAATCGAGATGGGTCCGTCTGTCTTACCAAATTGGAAAATCTCAATCGGCAAGCTTGCCACTTCCGCGGTCGCATTCGTGGACATGTCAACCATGCGCTGCCCAAGAAGCGGAGCGACGTACGTGTTTGTAAACGTGATAGTCGCGTTGAGAAGCGCAGGGCACGCTGAGTCCAACTGTACGAGTCGACACGTATCGTCGATCGATTGCGGCGATGCCACCACGAGCTGGGACAGGATGGCCGCTGCAACTGTACTCTTGCGAAGGAACGGGATCATCGCGGCCATTGCAATCGAAGTGCACTGCTTGCTCAACGATGTAAGGCTCAAGATTCCGTGGGCCACCTGGCTCGCCCCGACGTCTGGACACAGGATGCTTCCCCCCACCGTGTCAAAGTTCAAATCCGCCCACAGCTGTGGCACCGGGTCTAGCAAAAACATGCCATCCTCAATACTAAAGTACGAGTCTTGTGCTGCGACGCTGCGCCATAGACTCTGTCGCAATGTCGAGAATATTGCGTGCACAACTCGTTTGAAGCCATGGGGGCACGGAATGTGGAACGCATCGATGGATCCGAACGGGCCGAGCGCGGTCTGGACAAGTCGAAACGTCGCAGGCAACGGGCTGACCAGGGTGCCTTTCACAAGCAAAAGCGATTCCATGGAAGTGTTGGCGAAGCGGTGCGATGCGCTGGACCGGACAAGGCTCGCCCCAGCCACGTCGCTCGCGTTGAACGGGGCCACCGCCGCGAAATCGTTGGCAAGCGCCCAGTAGAACTTTAACGTGGACTCTCGGTCCAGACGAAATGCGGAAAACGACGTCTCCAAGCTCAACGGGTACGCAATGCCGTACACGTTGCTGACCGAGTACTCGTTGACGAGCCCGATGGTTTTGAAGTTTTGCCACTGCGTTGTAAAGTGCCGCACGCCATGGGCTTGCCAGTAGTCGCGTTCGACCGCGACGCTCGGTTTGCCTGTCGACGACACCATGGCCAACCAATTTCGACCGTCCGTCGATTGGCGGAGCTCGTTTGCGATGGCCACGTCAAACGCGGCGCCCCAGCAACGCTGAAACGCGGCAAAGTCCACGTTGCGGAGGACGGATTCCAAAAACACCGCGCCATTCGACGCCATCGACTTGCACCGTTCTTGTCGGGCGTCCGTGTTGGCCAACTCCCACCGCTGGCCGAAATCCACGTAGCAGTACTGCGTGAATATCCACGGAACGGCGCAAGCGTCGGTCGTGCGAAGGCCAGCAATCGTGGCATCGATCGTGTTGAGCTCAGTGTATTGCAGCAATGCACCGACGTTTGGAGCCGACGACACATACTCATTCGCTTGGTCGTACGGTTTGTCGTCGCTGATGGTAGCATCATCCATTTGTACAAACGTGCGAGTCACGCCGAGAGCGAGCTGCTCATTGAGCCATCGAGCCGTGTATGCGTGGGTGCCAGTCATGTTGAATGTGGCCCACAGCAGGTCGTTGGCGAAGTTCACTTTGGACACTTGGAGGTACGAGATGCTGCCGATGATACTTCCGACAGCATTGAGAATTCCCAAGGCAGTCCACAATCGTTGCTTGCATCGATGAATCGCTGCTCGAACATTGCCGATCTGGGGCAGTTGCTTTGCCCCGTGCAAGAGCTCCACCGTTGGCACGGACGTAAGGGGTTGAATGGAGAGAGGGGTGAATTCATGGCTGAGCAACCACAGCTTGACATCCAGGAGGACGCTCTTGGATATCGGTACAAGACCGACCATGAGCCAGGATGCAGTGTCGTGGGCGGCAAAGCCCTGCTGCGGCGTCGCCGGCGTTTCCAGGGGGAAGAAATTGTCTGCTACCCCAAGCATGTACCGCTCTACGTGAACTTGCTTTGCTTTCACGCCTCGCATTGCTTGATAAACTTTTGCAGCGATGATGGCCGCACAAAGACTCCCCAGCTGAATCGCAATGAGTACACAAACACGCGTGAAAGAGCCGACTTGGACGACCCCGCTGAAACAATTGAGTGCTTGGTCCATCGCTTGGGCTTGGCAGATTCGATCGATCGTGGCGCGAGGACCGACTGGGGCGACGGCCTCTAACGCAATCACAACCACCCACGATATGGCATAGCTCCAAGGAGCAAACACTCGCGTGAACCGGCGGGTCACAATCGCGAGACAGTCCGTCGCGACGAACGACAACCAGACAGTTTCCCCGGCAATGACAACGATCGATAGCCAGGAGCGCGACACTGTGGTAAATCGGGACGACGTAGTGTCCATGGCGCGCTTCAGCTCGAGCTGCGTAGAACTGAGAAGCAGGACAGCCGTACACCCCCGAAGGGCGAGCAATGGCCGGCCGATCCAAACGGACCCCACGATCTGGTTGAACCACATAAAGTTGGAACACTTCGACGAGGTCCTGGCCGAGGGCACCGTTGACAGGATGCACCCGATTCCGAGGACCACCATCACGAACGACATGTACACGACCATGTAGAAGATGGTGCGCGTGGCGCCAGTGACGTACGTCGTGGACGTGGGAAATTGCACAAGTGTTTCCGGCATCGACACCAGTGCCATGGACCCCGCATCGCCCTCAAAGCGCACGACCTCGCGTTTGCCTTCGATCCAGTCAAAAACCATATTCCACCCGAAAAAGTCGAAGGACGAGTTGGCCACGAGAGGCTGGAACAGCATTGTCCAGTTGCCGTCGTGGAGGTCTGTCGAGAACTGCATGATCCCAGGATTGCCACGACGTAGGTCATCGACGACACAACGTACGAGTCCGTTTGGAGGAGCGAGATACCTTGACGCTGCCTGCACAGCCACCACGGTGGCACGACACGCGGCCGGGTCGGCCACAAGGCCACAGACGGAATCGACATCGACGGCAGCAGGCATGGCGAACGAGGCAAACATCGCTGACGATGGAGTCAAGTCCACCGTCAGCGGGAGTGGGCTATCGCACGTGTCGTAGAATCCAAACGTTTGCTGGACAAACGGTTGCGGCGTGCCGGAGAAGCACATGGGGTTGCCTCCATAGAATACCAAGTTTGTCCACGACCGCGGCGTCGGCGCGACGGTCACGGCGACAATATCGAGAACGTTGTGGTGGAAATCTGTGTCCGTGCCGTGGAGGGTGTGCACGTGCAACTGAAATGCTCGATACAAGTCGAGAGCCGACGGTGGCGCCGCCACGAGCCACGTATCAATCGACAAATACGGCCCAATGGACGACCGGACGAGAAAGGTGGGGACGCTGTCGTTGTAGTTTGCGTCCGACACGCCAATGACGAGCCACTCGATGTCGTATACGGGGTGTTGCTGCGCCGAGTTGTTGGCCGACCGTATGATGCTTCGATTCCCCACTTGATGGAACATCATGTCGTTGTAAAAGGCAAAGTACATCACGATCGACGTCCATGTGCACTCGACCATGCGAATGTTGTTGAGCACGATTTGCTGGCGCATGCCCATCGCGTTTTCGAGCTCCACGACTTCGGAAATGCCCGTGATGTAGTCGTTTTGCCACTGCAGCGTAAAGTCAGTGATGGCGTTGGCATGCCAATACGCGACTTCGTCCGCGACCGTCGTCGCGAGCCTCGCGGTTGCCGTCGACGCGATCCACCACTCCCCTGCCGGAACTTGGCGCAGCCAATTCAAGACGGACACCCCAAACAACCCATCGTTGTCGCCAAAGTACGTCATAAAGTCATTCCAGTCGATGTTTCGAAGGACCGACTCGATATACACGGCGCCGTTTGGCTTGTACCTCGCTTCGCATCGCGTTTGCCTACCTTGGGTGTGGGCAACTTCGAAAGCGTGGTTAAAATCGACCCAACAGTACTGCGTGCCAATCCAAACACTGTCTTGTGGGCCAAGCAAGCGCAAGTTGTTCACTGCATACTCGATCGATGTCAACTCGGTCATGACCAGGCGTCGTGGGTACGTTGGGTAGATGTCAGTGGTAGTGGCAAACCCCACGTACTCTTTTGCGATGGATGCTCGTGGCGACAGGAGATCGAATGGCCCGGCCGGGTGAGTCGGAAGCAGCGCGTTGTAGATATCAATGAGCATCGCTTGATGGCGTGTGCTGGTGTAGTTGGCCCACCACATGTCGTTGAGCGTCGCCGGCCCGATCAGAACAATGTAGAAACACGAACTCACGGCGGACAAGGTGATGTAACCCCAGCAAAGGGCTGCTGTGTGAAGGGAAAAGGGACGGAGGGACTGCACGGTCTCGATTCCGCTCGGTACGATCTGCATGGTCCCTGAAAGGCGTCGCGATGGCCGAGGGGTCAAAATGCCGACCGTGTGCCGGTTTCATGCGCGGTGAAACCGCTAATTGCACCCGTCGGTTCGTTACATCGAAACCGCCACCTCGTACGACTTTTCGTTCGCCCAGCATATCGAATGCGCAATCGGGCGCAGGCCATGGACATCAATCAGCATCCACAGCGCAACATGAGATGCTCGAGCTCGTGCGCAGAGACTGCTGCCACTGTGTGCGTGTGTCCTACACTTCAGAACTAACGCAGGGATTCCCACCCACCGCGTAACGTTGTGTGTGTGGGCTCTGGAGGACGCGGCCGCGGCCCTCGATCGATTCCGGCGCTTGGCAAACACACTTTGTAGACATGCACACCTCTACAAAATCACGACTGCTACGATGTGGGGGAGCTCTGCTCCTATCACACATTCGAGTCGCGACATTTGTTGTGTTCTCCCGGTTTCGAAACCGCCGACTCCCAGCACATTTTGGTCAACCACGGGGAGTGATTCCGCCATGCAGATACTGCCGGCCGGCTTTGAGCCTGCCGTGACGAGGCGGCGCACGACGCTATTCCACACGACCGTGGGCTGGATCTACATTGCGTTGTCGGTGTTGTTTTCATGCCTATATATCATCCAGCTCGACCCCGCGACGGTCAACGACATGTGGTGGTCCAACTACACGAGCACGCAGCACCAGGCTCTGCTCGTCGACATCTTCAATACAATCCTTTCCACACAGCCGGCAGGAACATTCAATCTGCTGTCTCCCCGAGCGACCATCGCAAAGCAGTACCGCAGCTACTCCACCACTACTGGCATCTACCCGACGTACCCTCGGCGCTTGGTCATGACCGAGCTGACGTCCATCACGTACGCTATCAAGAACCTTCGAGTCCTGAGTCCCCAAGAAAGCGTATGGATTGGCACACAGTACTGCTGGGTCGACTTGGCGCGTCAGTTCGAAGTTGCTCTGACGGAACGGCGGCAAGCGCGGTGTAATCGACTGTACCAGACCAACGGAGCCATGTACATGGAAGCCATCCTGCGCAACATCGTATGGGATGACTTCATGTCGTATTATGGTCAGAGCGACGGCCCGTTTTCCGTGGCGATCTTGCGTTGGCTGGAGCAAATCCCCGATGGCCAGCACTGGATCGCATCGACGTCTTCCGCTCGACAAACGACGACCATTGACAACGAAGTCGCGTACTGGCATGCCAACGCGATCACAGACTTTACGCTGCAGTGGCAAAACGACTACATCACGGGCATCTCCGAGGTCTTCGCGATTGAAAACGCGCTGGGGATGCGGCAGGAAGTGATCCTAAACAACATCCCAACCGTCGAATGCACGTGGACATCGTTCATCTTGTACTTTGCGCTCTTGAACGACTTGAAGGTCCATCAGGTCGCCAATCGAAGCCTCATTCGATCGGCCAACAATTCAGTGATGCAAGACCCCGTGTTCGATGTTGAGTTTGAAGTTGTGGGCATCTCCGACGAGAACCAAGGCATCTTGCCAACCATCCTGCTCCTCCGGACATCGATCGGGCCCTTCCTCTGCATTGATTCATGGCTCGTGGCTGTGCCGACGTTGGCGCTTGAGCTCTATCGACGATTTCACGACCACTTTCAAACGTCGCTCGAGACGAACGCAGCACTCCATCAAATGGTGCAAGGCATCCCTGCTTTGACCTTGAGCCCCACCCCGCCGTCGTGGAACGACCCGAACTTGTTGTTCATCGGTGGCAATCCCATGTGTCTATTGGGGTCACCGCAGCCGTTCGTCCAGCAAACGTTTGGGTTCTACGACATTTGCGAGCGACAAATGCCCCTCACTGTAGACTTCACTGCACCCTCTGCCCTGTTTGCCTGGACTGCCATGCGTGGCGATGTCGATGCCGACGTTGTATGTGAGCTCATGGCCGAACCTCCAGACGTTTGTCATCACGTTATGGGCAACGTGCTCGCTGCCAGCCACCATCTTGGCGCAATGTACAACTCATCTGCACCTGTTGAACCAGTCGTCGACGAAATCCGTCGTGCGAATCCTGGGATCATGCAGTTTTCGATGGACGTCGACGGCGGCAACTGGACAATGTTATTCCAGCCGCTCGTGGACAACTCGTCCTTTGCTTTTGTCGGTTGGAACTACGTTTATGACTGGATCGAAGGCAAGCGAGAGGTTGTGCGCTTTGAAGGCGACGCAGGGACGATGGCACTCGTGTCGATGCCGGAGACGCTTGTGCTCTTTTCGAGCTCGACGACATATGCGACCGATGCGACGCGCACGATCTTCTACATGGTCGTGTACACGACGTTCCTGATTGTAGTCCTTGGACTCTGGACCATCCTAAAGTCGGTGCCGACAGCCAAGTCCGCGTCGAAATTTTCCAACTTCATGTGGTTCAACCAAGTCGTGGGGTCCGTTTGGATCGGCCGGCCATTGCTCGCCTTACGAGGGTGTACTGCTGTCCTGCTGCTGAGCTCGACGCAGCTTGAACTGTGGAGCGCGTTTGCGGATCGGTCGCGTTTCGTGATGGTGCCGCGGTCGTGGTTTACTGTGGTCGTGATTGCAGGCGAAGCCACGTGGATGTCGTATGTTGCGACAGACATCCTCACGATCGCGACCCGCCGATTCACGCGGGTGTTTGCTCCGTTGAGCTATGCAACGTCGTGGCTAGCGCTCGCTGCACTGGAATATTACGCCCCTGTGCAACCCGTCGCCATCCTCGATCGGTCTTGCACAGCCCAGGACTTGGACCAGACGCTCAAGTGCTTGAGCGGTGTCATCCACGTCGGGTCTCTCACGCGTGTTTGGATGATCATGGTCATTCAAGTCGTGTGCATGTGTGGTGCAAGTGTCGCAGGACGGATATACCAGTCGTATCGTGGCCGGCCCGAGGTTCGGGTCGGGTTTGAACGGCATATGATGGGGGTGGCCGACAACTTTTACTCGCTCGACAACTCCCGGACGTCCAAGGAGTGCTTTTCGTCCCATGATGCTGCGTCGTGGCTCATGGTGGGTCTGGTGCAATTACCGTTTTCCAAGAACATTTTCCTTGACGTCAAACTTTGGCTGCTCAACAAACGGATGCCAACAGGCACGATTCGAGTCTTGACGTCGCTCCCTACCATAAAACTAAGCCACGACGACCAGCCGTGGTATGCCAACTGTGTTCCCGCGTTTCTCCGACGCCATGAACGGCGGATATTTGGTGCGCTCGGAGTCGTCAACGCCATTTGCAGCATCCTCGGGAGTATTTCGTACCTCCAAGTGTCCGCAGTCAACCTGGCCAACGACCTGCTGTGGGCTACATTCAACATGACTGGAGCCCACGCGTTCACTGCGAATTGGCTCAACGAGCAACTCGTGCTTGGCCTTCAATACAGCCAGGTCACCATGGACATCGAGTC